CTCAGGGTCCTGGGGATGTACTCTGTGGCAACGGAAGGGATCAAGGTAACAGTGGTCTTGGCACAGCTCCCAGGGGACCTGAGATTTTAGTATAGGTTGGCTCCAAACCTTAGCACTGATTACCACAGCATGGAAAAGTAACGTGGTCTCACCACTTTTCGTACGTACTGAGGCTGAATGAATTTGGCAAGGCTTGGTTCCTTCATCAATAGTTTCTATTTGAGAGGGTTGTTGTGAAGAACAATAAGATAATACAAGCAAAGCACTTAACGTGGTGCCTGGCACAAAATAAGCACCAAGTAAATGAGGGCTGTTAACACTAATTCTAACATGGACAATAACAATGTGACATAGGGAAGCTAAAGGGACATACACACGAGGCTAAGCTGAAGCTTAGACAAAAGGTTCCATTGTGCCTGACAACCTAATATATTAAGTGTACAAATAGGCGTGGAATTGGATGACACATATTAGGTGGGTTTTTTTGGGGGGCATGGATTTTTTAAATTTTATTTTTGCTTATTTGTAATAAAATAGATCTATATTAGTTCATTATACTGTGATCGCTACTTTTATATATATTTGAAATTCTTCATAATAGAAAGTTTTATAATAGCATCCATAAAGGACACAATTTTAGTTAATAACCTGACAGAACCTGACAGCCCAAATTATGGTTCATAATAATAAGTGGCAGCAAATGGAAACTGTATACTTTCTTGAATGCAATTAATTTTGAAGAAAAAATACATTACTATTCCGGAAGCAAGCACGCCTCCCTTCTGATATGCCAAGGTGACTGGAGTGATATAATTTCTTCCATCTTTTGGAAAAGAAAAACAAGGTAAAACAGTTGACACATAATTAAAAGTACAATACAAGGTAATTAATTTCATTTTCTTTCCTGGGACTATTTATTTCTTTGTAATATTTTTTTCTAAAAATCAACTTTATATTAGAATATGTGCTATGCCTCCCAAACAATGAATAATAAAAGCTGCTTAGTAATGATTACTGATGTAAATCACATGAGTTTTTTTAAGACTGGTATAATCAGATCTATGTAACTAGCATCGTAGAATTATTTAGTAAATATATTTTCTTTTTTAGGAAACCATTGTCAGAGAGTTTAAGAGGCCAGGAAAAAACAACAACTACATTATTATCAAGCTGTGTACTTAGGACTTGTACATTTTATGCTATGTAAATTTATACCTTAGTAAATAAAGCTCAGTGGATAAAAGAAAGTAAAAAGTTCTATAAGAGCATTTGTTATTATTAATAATAAAATATTGGTGTTGGATGTTATATACCTGAAACTAATGTAATCTTATATGTTAATTACACTGCAGTAAAAAAATACTGTCCTTGGTGGAAAATAACAAAAGCGTATTATTGTTATGTAGATAAACCACGAGAACTACAAGATCAGAAGTTCAGATGGCATCCATCCCATTATTTGTTTACTGCATATTCCATGCTGGGCATTTTGCGGGATGCTAAGAAGCCTGCTGTTCTTTCCTTCAAGGGCAATTTGCCTCCCAGCAGTTCCTTCTTTCCCAACCCAACTGCCACTGGTGTCCACCTTCTTATGGCTCCGCCCCTAGTCTAGGTGCCTGCTGCTTATAGCCACCTGCTTTGAAGATTGTCCTTTCCTGAACGATGTGGCTAAATTAATCTCCCCAAGCACAATGCCCATTGGGGTACATCCCTATTCAGGAACTTTTGATGTCTGCCCACTGTCAGCTGAATTAAGTGCAAACGCCTTAGCCAGACATACAAGGTTAGCTATAGCATCAACGTCACTTCATTCCCCACTACGCCTGTGTACACAAAGCTTGATGCTCCAGACAAATTGGACCACTTCTTGTGTTTCCACCTTCCCTATGCTTTTGTCTGCACAGATATCATGGCCCAAAAGTCCACCCACCCTTATCTCTGCCTGTTGAACCCATCCTTCAAGGCCATTTCAAATGCCACCTTCAAAATTACTTAGCAACCACAACAACAAACCTTAGCTTGGCCTGTTTCCCTCCTCCGAGTCCCCACAGCACTTTGTGAAGCTCTCCCTCAGTGAAATGATCCCAACCCACCTGGCTGGAATTAACTGACTGCTTGTCATATTCTCTTTAATAACATGCAAATCCCTAGCGGGCCGAGATTATGAGGTTATATATTTGCCATCTTTGTCAGCTCTGAAGCACCTTGCTTAGTGTCTTCCACATTGTAGAGGCTAGATAAATATCTATTTGATAGCATTTATAATCAACCATGAAAATGATCAGAAATAGTAAACAGGAAGGAAATAGTGAACAATGGGAGACTACACATGATTAAGACCTAAATTGTATATAACATGCGACAAGTGTGATAGGAGTTTGGAAATGAGAAACATTGTTTTATAATTCATTTTTAAAATGTTGGTGCTACTTTACTCTGTAGCAGTCTCTGGGATTAAATTTTGGAGCCAAAGAATGAGTAAAATACCATTCCTGACTTCCAAGACTTGATGACAGACATGCAGGTGGGGCATTGTCGGAGCACAGCATAAGGCTCTAACAAAGCAGTGAGTCTGAAGGAACTCAAGACAGGGGCACCCAATTGTGCCTGAAGGTTGGGGTGAGGACAGGGAAGGCTCCACAGACGATAATTTCACCAGGTAGATAAGAAAGAGGAGGACATCCCAGACAAAGGTAATTGGAAATGCCAGCAGGCAGAATTGGGGGACAGCACAGGAAAGATGAGGACTTCTCAAAGCCTCCAGTGGGAGGGGTGACACTGGAAAGGCAGGCCAGGAAAGAGGCGTGCGTTTTAGAGACCTGTAGGATGGCTTCAAGGATGAGAGATGAGAGAGTGAACCAAGCCTGGAGGATACAAGTGAGAGTAAAGGGAAGAGAGTGGGGCTGAGGGAGAAAAATTAAAGCTAATGGCCTCAGTTTCATCAGTGAAGTGTGAGCCGGGGAATGGGAGAGGGGGTAGGTGAAGGGTGCTGCATTTGGGGGCAACTTGCTGGAGGAGGCAGTGTTTGAGCTGGGAACTGGAGGAGTCGAGAGCCAAGTGTCATGGGAATGAGCTAGGAGGCATGTCTGTGAGATGATGGAAGAACTGACAGCCTAGAGAGAAAACTCATACTAGGGAGTAGCAGGAACTAACACTAATGGAGCCGGTAGGATCCGATTAGAGAGAGCTTGAAATCAAGGCGGAGCAGTCCTTGAGTTACATGTTGAAAACGGTCTTCAAAAAGGGCAGTTTGGCGGGATGAGCTGCCTGGTTTGGGTCAGTTGTAGATTAAGGTCAATGAAGTCAGTCCTAAGATGCTGCAAACATCAAGGTGCGAAATAATAAGAGCAAATGGAATAGAGAGTGCATTGGACAGGCTTTGTTCAATGTTCCCTTCTCAAAGAATCTACACTTAGACCCTTCTGTGACCAAGGCCCAACTCTGGCTAGAGCTGATGGGACCAGGAACGGACACCATATCTAAAGAGAATAGATCAGGTTCTCTTATAAATTCTAACCACTCAACATAAAGGTAATTTTCAAGATGGCAGTGGGCCTTAAAAGAGAAGAATATTATGGAGAAAGGGGTGGAGAGGGGGAGAGGGCTGGAAAGAACATGATTAACTTATTAAACAGAACAGGCATATATATGGGAAAGGATATAACACAGTAGCAAAGAATTTGGACTCTGAAGTCTTATTGCCTGGATTCAGGTCTCAACTCCACAGTTTACCAGTTATGTGAATTTAGGCATGTTTGTTAACCACTCAGTGCCTCCATTTTCTCTTCTATGTCATGGAGATAAAAATGTATCCCTTTGTAAAGGTTTTTTGAGGATTACATGAAATCTGCAGTTTTGAGTGGTAGCAGAAGGCTTAGAACATAGAACATTTAATAAACATTAGCTAGCTAGAAGGAATAGGACTTGGTAACTAACTACAGGTTTAAGGACAAGAAGGAATCAAAGATGTCTCTAAGAAAGAGAAAATACAAAACACAACATCCATCTTCGAGTGCAAAACCATCACCAATGGCTACACTTCTAGAAATATGAAACAAAGGAGTTTCTCACCCATCGGTATTCTGTCTTCTATCTTATCAAGCACAGTCACTTTCCAGCTTTCTCCATTAATCACTAAAAGATGACCCTCTTCACAGCCAACATACAGGTCACTTGTTGGAGTCCAGCAGTGCATAGTCGGGTGAAGCAAAGGATATAGGTCATCTTTGGGCTTCAGGGAAAGATTAGAAACTTTGTGTTAAGACAACAATCATGGCATAAGAGCCAGAGAAATGCCCATCAAAACAATTTCCAAGAGGAGACAAAGAAATATGGACATACATATATTCATTGGTCCATTTGCCAAGAGCTAAGTGAACTTCCTTCCTTCCTCCGCTTCTATCTCTACATTTTAATTCACTAGGAAAAAAAAATAAGTCATACTTGCCAACACAATCAGAATTCTAGTGTCACAGATTATCTGAAAGTTTTGAATAATATTTTCTACACTGTTTCTTGGTGGACTTTTTTTGTATCTTGAACCTAAGAAAGTCATTGTCTAGCTACAATCAGCCTTTCTGAGGAAGACTTTTGTCAACATTTCTCCCTCCTGGTTCTGCAGGGGGCATGGATATGATTTTCCTGCAGTGGCTATGGAGAGATCGGCCGAGTTTCTCTGCTTGGTTAGCTTTCATGGGGAATGAGAAGAGGGCTCCTGATGGCCTTTCTAATTTGGTTCATGAGACAGCCTACGTGACTTTGATTCCATGGAGAACTCAAAGAAAACTGCACAAAATCTATGGGACGTACCTGGCAGGAAAGCTGGCTTTGAGAACTAAAAATAATATGGACCAAAGAACTTAGGCAATTTTTTCCTGTAAAGGATCAGGTAGAGAACATTTTAGTCTTTGTGGACCACACAGGTCTCTGTCACATATCTTTTTCTTTTTTTTTAAATAACCCTTAAAAAAGTATAAAAAAACATTCTTAGCTTGGGGCCATCATAGTTTGTTGATTGCTGCCATAGGCAGTAATAGTCAGTATGATGCCCCTGCCGCCTTAAATGTTTGTGTCTGGTGGGGAGAGGCGGCTCCCGCTTCCTGACAGCACAGAGTAGGCCTCCTTGTAAGCCTAGGACCACCCACTCTCCTTCCTCAAGGTCAAGGTAGCCATGGCAGTTATTCTGGGTATGTTCCCCCACCCCCACCCCCAGCACTATTAAGATTCCGAATTCAGCATACAGTAATATGGCACTTCTTCCTCTCTATTTAAACAAGTCAGACATACTAACTTACATTTGTTTGTTTAATTTGTATTGAGAACATAACGTCTAGTGCTATCTGAGCTTCTTGCCATGCTATACTATTATTTAGAATTGCATTAGCTACCACATAATGTCTTTTTCTTTAGGCATCCTTATACCCATAGGAACAGAAATCATTTTTAATAAGCCATTGGCTAAATTACCAGACTTATTAAATTTCTTGAGAGTTCCATGTGTATTTCATGCATTTATTCGTGCATCTAACAAATATTTGTTGGATACTTATTACATTCCAGGCACTCTTATAGGCACAGGAATGTGGCAGTGAACGAAACACACACAAAAATCCCTGCCCTCAAAAGGCTTACATTCTGGTGAGTGGAAACAGAGTAAAAATAAGTTAAGAAGTAACATATATAGAATGTTGTGCATTGAAAAGTGCTGTGGAGAAAAATAAAGCAGGGTAAGTTGGAATTGGATTCACAGTTGCGGAATACTTCAAACCATATAGACAGTGATTTTTCCATTCAAAACTTCCCAATGTATGCTAGCCACCTTTTAAATAAACACTCAATTGATTGAATAATATAGTATATACTACTCTTTTAATTTGGAAAATGTTTGTAGTTTCAAGGCACAGCAGGTGTGACACTGCCAAAGAAACTAATTCTACCAGATTCTCAACTCATATTAATTTGTTGAATAATTGTTAGTTCAACAAACATTTACTGGGCGTTGGTTATACACCAGGCATTGTGCCAAATCCTAAGGAATTCTTCTTCTCAGTTCGATAGTCACCAATTAAGGGAAGAAGTAGTATCAACAAATATCAGAATCAAAAAACATGGTAGGTTATACTCGTAGTAAGTAGAGGAGTGTTTAAATATTATGGGCGCAAGCATAAGAAAGCAATTGGTTCTTCTTGGTGGAGTAAAGGGAGTATAGAGAATTATCATCTGGGATGGACCTTGAAACATAACTAAGACAGAAATCACACACAGGAGCAATCATCATTATAATTTTGTAAAGGACAGGTTAACTTTGATTGTGTAGTTGGTCTATTTCATGCCCTCATACCCTTGGATTGTTAGAAAATACATACTTGAATAACAATCTGGCCACCCAATAAACCAAAAAAAGGGACAAAATCACCCAAATGGATTAAACTGCTGCTAATTAATGACATTTTTGTGGTGTCTGAGACCTGACTCATAGAAAAGAATCACTCACTGAACACTGTTATATAATTACTATTATATAAAAGTTTCTTCGGCAGTCTTGATGACATATAACCTTAGACTATAAATCACAGAGGAACAGTTTCTTCCTGGTATAGCAATGGGCTCAAAATCTTAAACACACACACACATCTGGTTCTCACACCAGTGAATCTGCATATGTGACAGGAGGTGAGGATTAAAAGCTGGAATTTTCTGGCCTTGGTATGTTAAATTAGTATTGTATTATATGTGGCTTTTCTTACTTCAAGATCAACCTGTGCTTGTCTTCCTATTGTGGCAATGGGCCCTAGACAAAGACCTTCCCAGACCATGTGGTCACCAAGGATTTTGCGCGGGCTTCGGACAAAGACATTCCTGGACTGTATGGTCATCAAGACTTCCCCGTGTAATATTTCCAAATTCCTACCTCACCCGTGGACCAGTCAGGAACTGGCACAATGGCCACAT